TTTATTTTTTTATAATAAATTTATTTTTTATTGGTGTTCACTTTGCCAACATACAGAATAACACCTAGTGCTCATCCCGTCAAGTGCCCCCCTCAGTGCCTGCCACCCATTCACCCCCACTCCCCGCCCTCCTCCCCTTCCACCACCCCTAGTTCATTTCCTTTTTTTAAAATTTTTATTTATTTATGATAGTCACAGAGAGAGAGAAAGAGAGAGAGGCAGAGACACAGGCAGAGGGAGAAGCAGGCTCCATGCACCGGGAGCCCAATGTGGGACTCGATCCCGGGTCCCCAGGATCGCGCCCTGGGCGAAAGGCAGGCACCAAACCGCTGTGCCACCCAGGGATCCCCCCCTAGTTCATTTCCCAGAGTTAGGAGTCTTTATGTTCTGTCTCCCTTTCTGATATTTCCCACACATTTCTTCTCCCTTCCCTTATATTCCCTTTCACTATTATTTATATTCCCCAAATGAATGAGAACATATAATGTTTGTCCTTCTCCGATTGACTTACTTCACTCAGCATAATACCCTCCAGTTCCATCCATGTTGAAGCAAATGGTGGGTATTTGTCGTCTCTAATGGCCTAGTAATATTCCATTGTATACATAAACCACATCTTCTTTATCCATTCATCTTTCGATGGACACCGAGGCTCCTTCCACAGTTTGGCTATTGTGGACTTTTTAAATAAATTTATTTTTATTGGTGTTCAATGTACCAACATACAGAATAACACCCAGTGCTCATCCCGTCAAGTGTCCCCCTCAGTGCCCGTCACCCATTCACCCCCACCCCCCACCCTCCTCCCCTTCCACCACCCCCAGTTCGCTTCCCAGAGTTAGGAGTCTTTATGTTCTGTCTCCCTTTCTGATATTTGCCACACATTTCTTCTCCCTTCCCTTATATTCCCTTTCACTATTATTTATATTCCCCAAATGAATGAGAACATATAATGTTTGTCCTTCTCCGATTGACTCACTTCACTCAGCATAATACCCTCCATTTCCATCCACATTGAAGCAAATGGTGGGTATTTATTCCTCTTCAGGGACACCAATAAGTCTAATATTTTTTCATATTTTGAAATCGTTGATTTCTGAAAATTCACCCTCATGATCCATTAGTTGTTTTTATCTCTTTTCCTCGATTTCCTTCCTTTCCATCAATTTATCTACTATGTCACTGACTCTTCTGCCTCATTTACTCTAGCTGGTAGAGCATCCAAATTAGACTGTATCTCATTTGGAGTATTTTAAATTTGGGCTTGATTAGTTCATTTCTGTACTAAGATTCTCTAAAGTCTTTTATGCTTTCTTTTTTTTTTTATAAATTAATTTTTATTGGTGTTCAATTTACCAACATACAGAATAACACCCAGTGCTCATCCCGTCAAGTGTACCCCTCAGTGCCCGTCACCTTGCTTTCTTTAAGTTCAGCCAGTAACTTTATAACCGTTATCCTGAATTCCAGCTCTGACATTTTACTTATATCCATATCTATTAGGTCTGTGATAGAGAGTATTGGCTCTGTTTCTTTTTTTAGCATCCTTTTTAAAATTTAAACTCAATTAGCTAACATATCATACATCATTAGTTTCAAATGTAGTTTACAATAATTCATTAGTTGTGTATAATGCCCAGTGCTCATAACATTACATGATGCGATGGTTCTTTCTTTGTTTTGAATTCCTCCTTCTAGTCATTTTGCCCAAAGAAGAATAGATGAATGAGTGAACAAAGTCAAAAATATCAATCATGACCCAAGTGAAATACACACTAGACAAATCCAAAGAGATCAGAAACAAACAAAAAAGAAAGAAAGAAAGAAAGAAAGAAAGAAAGAAAGAAAGAAAGAAAGAAAAAAGACAAAGAAAAGGGAGAAGGGGTTAAAAAAAAGAAGAAAACATTGGGGGAGGGAGAGTGAATGTAATCTCACAGGTGGACAAAACGGTGATTCACTTGGTCCTAAATATAGTTTGGTCTATGTGTTAGAAGGCTCTAAGTCCCAAAATTTTAAAGAAAGCAAAAGTCACACATATATACAAAATTCAATTGAATAGAGTGAAAGGAAGCCAAAAATGAAGAATATATCTAGAAAATGTAAAACATAGAAGTTTTAAAAAGACTGAAAATAAGAGTTGATAAAACAAGAAACTAGTTGAAAAAGGATAAAAAAGGAAAATTTTAAACTGAAAGATAAATGAATTATGAGAAAATACCACAAATTCTTTATACTGTTTTCCCCTAGTGCTGGAGTTTTGCACTCCTTCGAGGTCCATAAACCTGCTATTCAGGCCTGTTGTTCCAGCTAACCTCCTGATATGTGCCTGCTATGGTGATTTTTCTGGGCAGAGTTGCACACTCCCTTTTGTTGGATGACTGGGCTCAGTGTAAGCTCTTTTTGGTTGATCTGTGTGGCTTTTTGTTCCCTGAAGGCTTTATACACCCCTTTAGAGGACCAAAACAAAAATGGCTGTGCCTTGATCTCTAGCCCCAGAGCAGAAAGATCACAGTCCCCTATCTTCATTAAACCATTTGCTTTCACTTTTGTGTATGCCAAATCCTGCAGACTCCTGTGTTGCGCACCCACACTGATCCCCCTGGGGAAGGCAGAAGGTCCCCTGTTTCTGCACTTTGTTGTGACTTGGTCCTGAGAACAGTTGCCTGATCATTTTCATACCCGCTTCACCCCACCTGGGGGAAGGTGGGGGGTTGCCCCATTACTGTCCTTTACTGGGTCCCCACACTGAGAGCTATTGCCTAGTCATGTGCCCACCCAGTCCACCCTTCCCAGGGGAAGGTGGAGGGTTCCTGTATTCCTGTCCTTTGCAGAATTCTCACATGGAGAGTGGTCACCCAATCAGCCCATGGCTTGTGGTTTATGGTAAACTGAGCTGAGAGCCCCTACCCTGGCTCGCTGACGATAAACAGTTTCCCCACTCCAATGCTTGGGAACTCACCAGCTCAGGAACCCCTGTTCTTTCTGTGTCTCCAAGGGTCCTGAGACCACACTGTCTCAACCAAGATTCTGCCCTATTTCACCACCAGAGCACCTTTCAGGCAGGGAAGTCTCTCACTAGAGCAGACTTCTAAGGGTTCTGATTTTGTGCTCTGGGGCTGTATTACTTTCCAGTAGTTGGCTTATGGAGGCTCCCTCCCCCCACCATTAATCTTCCAATATATTGCTTTGGATTCATTTCTCTGCACCTCCTATCATGCAGAAAGTGGTCGCTTTTTTACTTGTCAAGTTCCCAGCAATTCATTTCTTACATCTCAGGTTGAATTCATGGGTATTCATACTGATTTGATAGTTATCTAGCTAAATTCAGGGGACCAGATGAAATGAGTTCCCCTACTCTTCCACCATCTTACCTCCTCTATGACTATATTTTGTGAATTTAATTACTGTACGTCTTAGTTCGATCTGCTCTTGTTGGTTTTGATGGGAATTCTCTGTACTTCCTAGACTGGATATTTGTTCCCTCCTCCAGTTTAGGGAGGTTTTCAGCTATTATTTCTTCAGATAAATTTTCTGTCCCCCTTTCTCTCTCTCTCTCTTGTTCTTGGACTCCTATAATACAAACGTTATTATGTTTGATGCAGTTACTGAGTTCCCTAGGTCTATTCTTGTTTTGCATAATTCTCTCTCTCTTTTGTTCAGCTTGTTGGTTCTCTGTTACTCTGTCTTCTGGTCACTAATTCATTCCTTTGCTTTTTCCAGCCTGCTGTTTGCTCCATCAAGCATGTTTTCGTTTCATTTATTGTGCCCTCTGCTGTTTTTTTCTTATTTCTGTGCTAAGGAACTCAGTCATGTCTTCCAGTCTTTTCTCAAGTCCAGTGAGTTCCTTAGGATCATTGCTTTAAATTCTGTATCAGACATGTTACTTCTATCTGTTTTGCTTAGTTCTCTGCTTTGTCCTTGTCCTGTTCTTTTACTTGTGATAAACAAAAACAAAACCCAAACAAACAATAACAAAAAAAATGCTCCAGGTTCCAAATCCCACTGGTTTTATAAACTCACAGAATTCAGCCCCTCTGGTTTTTAAAACCAAATGGTATGAGGATCAGTCCTCCTTGTGTGAGGACCCATTTCCCTGCTCTCTCCACGTGTGCAGGGAGCATCCCTCCATCTTTCTGACCATCCTAATCTTTCAGATAAAGCTTTGTCTCTATATTTAGTTGTGAACTTTTTTCTGCCAGTCTTCAGATCTCTTTGCCAGTCTTTGGATATGTATGATATCTAGTTGAAAACATGGGAAGGAGTGAGCTCAGGGTCCTCCTACTTCACTAACTTCCCAAGCTCCTAGCCAGAATGACTTACTTTTAAAACAAGGCATTGAGTGGAGAAGTCAAAGCAATGCATTCCTAGTGACAAAATATCCAAGTCTTAATATCTGGCCAGGGGAGATAATTGACTATGATGTCTTCTCAGTCCTTTATTGTTTTTATTTAAATTCAATTTTCCAACATATATTATCACACTCAGTGCTCATCCCATCAAGGCCCTCCTCAGTGCCTGTCACCCCACCCTCCCACCTCCCCTTCCACAACCCTTTGTTTGTTTCCCAGGGTTAGGAGGCTCATGGTTTGTTTCCCTTTCTAATTTTCCCAGTCCTTTAAGTAATGGACACAGTAAGTGACCCTGAGGATCACAGAGGCTGTGCTCAGTGCCTGAATTAATGAAGGACCTCCTCCCCAGGAAAAGTTTCTGAATCCAGGGTAAATGAACTGTAGCCTCTCAAACTAGACATTACCCTTGGGAAGAGACCCCTCAGTACCAGGATCTGTTTTCCTTTTCTAGCCCCAGGCAGATTTCTGCTTTAGAACAAAGAATAGGATGAGTCATAAGAATCATGCAGATGGGTGGTACAGAGACTAAGATGGGATTGAGATGAGCAGTGGTTTAAGAATAAGAAATCTCCTCCTAGTGGCCTAACTGCCCTGGGAAGGTGGTTTCCCTCACCCAAAGACTGACATTTTCTCTGTGTATTTTGCTTACAGAGAGGCTTCAGACAGAGCTTGGTAAGTGACCCCTCTTCAGATTATTTCTTCCTGTCTACCTTTTAGCATCTGATTTTCCATATATATCCATCTCATTTCCTAACCAGGTATGATAGCCAGGTTGGAACACTGCTAGCCATGTGGGTGGCAGGAGAAAGGGGAGAAGGGCGGGGGAGTGCAAAATGCAATGTGTGAGCAGGGAAGCAGCATTGACCTGGTGTTTTTAATTCTGTTTTTCCATGGCTGCTTCAGACTGGAGAAGGGCTGAAGGCCAGGCTGGTGAGTGAAGTCCATCTCCTTCCCACTGTCCACTTTACATCCAACATCCCAGTCACTCACTCTGACTAACCAACTTCATTCTAGTTTCTTCCACAGGCACATGGCATGTATTAAAATATGTCACTTAGTAGAGGCTATATTCAAGTTTTACTTTTCTATTTACTTTACATTTGTCCTGAGATGTAAGCATATTAAAACCATTGGTGCCAATTCTGGTTGCACATCAGAATCACCTAGATCTTGGTGCCCACCCTCAAAGACTCTGACCTGTGGGGCTAGAGTGGGCATGTTATTCTATCTGTAAATATTTTCCCCTGTCCTTTCCTCCATTCCCCACATAAAGCAAATAGTCTCATGCACATCTTTATTTTGTATGCTTGAAAAGGGTGAATTTCTGCTTCATGCACAAGCATTTCAGTTTTTTAAATGATGTTTACCGTCTTGTGTTAGTCCTTGCTTTGCTCACTCATCCCTGTTTTAATATACACCCTTGTTACCATATCTGGTCTGTGTCTTCTTGCTGCAGTATACTCCATTTTAGTCAGCTACCTTCTTGGAATAGATATCCAGCCTGCCTCCAACTCCACATCACTGCACACAATGCTGAATGAATAGCCTCAAATTTGTCACCTTCTGGCCTTATGTGGCGATTTCTCTGGGATGTTTACCCAGGAAGGCAATTGCTGGCCCATGGGAAATATGTCACTAAGTGGGATAGAGGGATCCCCCAAAGGTAGTGTTATCATTTTGCCATTGGTAGTGCATGGAGGCTCCATGTGTCCACATCCCATATAAGCCAGATTTCTTAGTTAGCCAGTCAGTGGGGATGAGTGATTGCTCATTGTTCTTTCAGTTTGAACTCCTCTGAATACTAAGAAGTTTGGGCAAAAAAAAAAAAAAAGAAGTTTGGGCATCCCTTCATATGCTATTTGACTTTTGGGGCTTCCTCTTTTGAACGTTGACAGTTCCTGTCCTTTGGCCATTTTTTTAAAAGTACACTCTATGCCCAATGTGGAGCCCAACGTGGGGCTCAAACTCATGACTCTGAAATGAAGACCTGAGCTGAAATCAAGGATCAGAAGTTTAACTGAGCCACTCAGTGTCCCCTTTGGCTGTTTTTAGTATGAGTTTGCTATCTTTTATTGATTCAAGGGAACCTGATACTTATGTATATCACATATATCACACATACACTAGCAGACACACATACATATATGTATATGTTTATGTGTGTGTGTGTGTATGTTCTATTAGGTATGTCCATGGTTTTCCATTGAAAAGAAACCATTAATTTTGATAAAATCTAAGTCATCAAATTTTTACCTAATGACTTGTGGTTTTGAAACTTTGTTGATGTGTATATATGTATGTGTATGAGGTTGCTATCTTTCTTTTATTGAATCAATAAGACATATGTGTGTGTGTGTACACACATATATCTTTATACAGATATACATTCATCAAATTTGTACCTTATGGCATTTCTTTTTTGAAGTTTTGTGGAAGAAAGCCTTCCTCACACTTAGGTCATAAAGATACTCTCTTCCACTTTCTTCTATTCACTTTACATGTGTTATATGTATGTCATTAATCCACCTGAAATTTGCCACTTTATTTGGTGCTATGTGAGGATATAGCTGATATAGCTATTTTTCTTTACATGGTGAGTGAGTTTTCCTAGTGACATCTACCACACCATCCATGATTTTCCTATTGATGTAGGTACTGCCTTTAGTTCATATTTGGTTCCCATGTGTAGATGAGTCTATCTCTTGACCACCTATTACTTCATTGTTTTTACTGTTATAATACCCAAAAGTACAAGTTTTCCTCCTTTTGCTTCCTTTTGAAAATGAATGGACCTTTTTAGGTCCATTTCAAATTTTAGGATTAATTTACGAAATTCCTTTAAAAATCCCAAAGCAGTTTTATATGGGATTGCTTTAACTTTTATTTTTTTAATAATAAATTTATTTTTTATTGGTGTTCAATTTGCCAACATACAGAATAACACCCAGTGCTCATACTGTCAAGTGCCCCCCTCAGTGCCTGTCACCCATTCACCCCCTTTTTAGATAAATTTATAAAGAATAAACATTTTTATAGAATTGAGTTATACTATGCAAGAGCTATATGTTTTGAAAAGTCTACTAATGATTCTGATGTAAAACCAGGATTTAAAGCCCCTGCTGTAAATCTATGGAGCTCTGAAAACTTAATAGAAGCAATAAACTTTTGCTATTTTGTGACTTGTTGATCTCTCTGTTGTAAAGAAGAATAAGATAAAATAAAACAGAAATCCACTCAGGATGGTTCATGTTATGAAAGGAGGCAAATCAGGATATCTAAAGGACATTTTAGGACAGAAGCCATGTTCAGCCAGACTTCCTTGGACTTATTCTGCTGATCAGAGATTGAAACATCTTGTGTAACCTTCAGGGCATCCTAGCCATCTGTATTGGTTCTCTTTGCCCACATGCTTTGTTTTCTTGCCTTTTTTCAGTACAAGATCAGACTGCCTGCAGATCTGGCATAACCCAGCACTGACATCTGCCACCTACTTAATCCTAAATTCCTAGAGAAATGCTATTGTGAACCCAGACCAGTCTGGACTCCAATTAGCAGTCATGGTGGGAATGAGATCATTAGGTTTGTGGCACCCCCTCATGCATTTTGAGCCTCCCTCAAGGTTCCAGAGTTGCTGAATCAGATCTTTGAGTCTTTTCCCTTTCTGTTTACTTTCAGAGTGGAGAACAGCCCAACAATATGCAGGTAACTGAAGTCAAGGGACTGTGACTTGTGACTTGGGTTGGTTGGATCTTAAACAGAAGGGAAGAGGAGACAACTGAGATTGGAGGGAGGCTGTGTCCAGGAGCCAAGTATGGAGCCTACACACACAAACACATAAGCCTACTTTTGCACATACACAACATGACACATGTGCCTGCATGCTTGCATGCATACTTCTGACTACATTCACACATGCACTTTTTTATGTACACATATATTGTCCTAAAAGCACATTACTTTCTGGGTTTTATTAGATTTGTTTCCATCTGGCAGGAAGGCTGCTAGCGCCAGTTTGTAGGAACCCCTCATTAGATAGAAGAGATCCTTAGGGCTCCTGTCTATCAAATGGGTGTGCTTTGAGGGATGGAGTATTTGAGTGGAAGGTACTGGACTGGATGATCTCAGAGGCCCCTTTCAGTTTTAAAATCCTAACATTGCTATAAAACTGAGGCTCAGGGATGCCTGGGTGGCTCAGTGATTGAGCATCTGCCTTTGGCTCAGGGAATGACCCCATGGTCCCAGGATCGAGTCCCACATCAGGCTCCCTGCACGGAGCCTACTTCTCCCTCTGCCTATATCTCTGCCTGCCTCTCTCTCTCTCTGTGTCTCTTATGAATAAATAAATAAAATCCTCTAAAAAAAACTGAGGCTCAGAGCTCATGTGATTATCTCAAGGTCACACAGAATGGTGTATCAGTGAGGAATTGAACCAGCCCAGAGTCCCTTTCCCTTGAGGAATTGGGAGAAACTAGAAACTTTTCTATCTCCCGATCTCCATGGCACCTGGTATGGCATTCAGGAAACTTCCAGTTTAGGAAAGAAATATGATTCTTATTTGGCTTTCAGGTGCTCAGAAGTGCCTTGCAAGCTGCTTCAGTACACAGGGGTGGTTTCAGGGGTGGGAGTGACCACCAGGAGCACTAGGAGGTTTACCTGTCAGGAAAGGGGACAGGCAAGGCCCAGAACCACCCTTCACAGGTACTAACCATGTGCCTTTGCACAGTGGATGTAACCCTTGATCCAGCCTCCGCCCACCACAGCCTGGAAGTCTCCGAGGATGGCAAGAGCGTGTCCTCCTGCACAGCAGTGCCTGGCCCTGTGATGGGAGACCCCCAGCGGTTCTCTGAGCAGACGTGTGTGCTGAGCTGTCAGCATTTTTCTGGTGGCCGCCACTACTGGGAAGTGCATGTTGGCAGGCGCAGCCGCTGGTTCCTGGGTGTGTGTTTGGCCACAGTGCCACGTATGGGGCCAGCACAACTAAGCCCGGCCAGTGGCTACTGGGTGATGGGGCTGTGGAACCACTGTGAGTATTTTGTCCTGGACCCACATCGCATCGCACTCACCCTGCGTGTGCCACCACGGCGTGTAGGTATCTTCCTGGACTGGGAGGCAGGAAAACTGTCCTTCTTCAATGTGTCAGATGGCTCCCATATCTTCACCTTCACCGACACCTTCTCGGGGACACTCTCTGCGTATTTCAGGCCCAGAGCTCACGACGGTGGTGAACACCCAGATCCCCTCACCATCTGCCCATTGCCTGTTAGAAGAACATGCATCCTTGAAGAGGATGAGAGAGATGCCTGGTTACAGCCCTATGGGCCCTCGGATCCCACCCTTGGCCTGTGGTGAGGCACTCTCTTGCCTACAGGTTTGAGTCCTTGGCAGCTTCCTAGATACCTGGCTGGGATTTGCTCTCTCACTTCCTCTAGAGTGGAGGAAACATCACCAAAATGTTGGCAAAGGCTAAGGACTCACCATGGAAAAGGGGAACAAAAAGAGGAACCTTTGTCTATAGATGTATGCATATATGTATGTGATTTTCTTTAATGAAAAGAGTGAATTCCAAAGCTCCTTTGTGTATATGGTAGGACTAAGCAAAGGAGGAACAATAAATTTACGTTGTGGGGAGCCACGGCGTGCACTGGAGATCAGAAAGAAAGAGGACTGGGGGAAAGGTAGAGGGAAACTTTACTGGATTGGATAAGAGGTATCAATTAACATATTTTTTAAAAATACTTTTTGTATGTGTTTTCTAGCTCTAAAATGTCTAGAAGCAATGATACCTCATAAACAGTGATTTTACCTGAGGCTTAGATCCCAGTTTTAAATGACATTTCCCACTGAAATGAACTTGGAGAAACGGCTGATTCCAGGGTTGGAACAGAGAAGGTACAGGTGAATCTGGAATATCTTGTATTCAAATGTGCTCAGAAAGTGATGAAGCCATAAGAACCAGGGTGAAGAGGCTCCACTGATCAGTTATGGGATGATTTGAACTTTCAAATGAATCATGACAAGGATGAATAATGACAAGAATTGCTCAACAAGGTATTGCACAAATAAGAAAATGCCCTATGTGTGCTGAGAGGTTTTGCAGTCAGAGATGAAATACAGAGATATGAAAGAGTAAAGAAGAAAATGGAAGAGTAGATCTGTGAACTCATGGTTTTTATAATGTACAGATAGATGGAGCACACATACACACACAATAAATAGGTAAATAGATTTGTGTGTGCATGCATATGGTTCCTAGCTCTGTCAGTTTTGACAGCTTTGGAACAATAACATTCCAGTACCAATGAACACACCTAGCATCCAGAACTTAGTTTTTAGTACTATGTTCCAATAAAAAGAACCAAGGCTCCTTAGATAAGGGGTGAACTTCAGGGCTAAGGCAGGGAGAATACAAGATAGGTGTGATATTATGATTAATAAGAAATATATGGTCTTCCACCTAGATTCTGGCACAAAACTCCTAAAACTCTTAGAATTTCCTAAGTGGTAAGAGCTATCAAGATGTCTCTTGATAGTCATAACAAGGACTTTTCAACTACATCTCGTTTGTGTTAATAAGATGACTTCTGGAAAGCCCTCTAAGGGTGGAGCTGGTTTTCAGGAGACCCAAGTACATTATTAAAAAGGTTGAAATTTAGTCTTCCCCTACCTCTCATCCATCCCTAAACTCAGGGAGAGAAGAGAGGCTGGACCCACACATATGTGGTCAGTTATTCTTCCATAAAGCAATAAAGAATATCTAATGGAAAAAAGACAGTCCCTTCAACATATGGGGTTAAGAAAACTGGACAACATTAAAAAATGAAACTGAATGATTTTCTTAAACCATACACAAAAATAAACTCAAAATGAAGGAGAGACCTAAATTTGAGACAGGAAACCATCAAAATCCTAGAGGAGAACACAGGCAGTAACCTCTTTGACATTGGCCATGGCAACTTCTTACTAGACATGTGTCTGGAGGCAAGGGAAACAAGCAAAAAGAAACTACTGGGACTTCAAGATAAAAAGCTTCTGCATAGCAAGGAATACAGTGAACAAAACTAAAAAGGAAACCTATGGAATGGGAGAAGATATTTGCAGATGACATACCTGATAAAGGGGTTAGTATACAAAAATCTAGAAAGAACTTATCAAACTCAACACCCAAGAAACGAATAATCTAGGTAGGAAATGGGCAGAAGACAGGAAGAGACATTTTTCCAAAGGAGACATACAGATGGCCAACAGACAAATGAAAAGATGCTCAACATCAGTCATCATCAGGGAAATGCAAGTCAAAACTACAGTAAGATATCACTTCACACCTAACAGAATGGCTAAAATGAACTGCACAGGAGACAACAGGTGTTGGTGAGGATGTTGAGAAAAAGGAATCGTTTTACACTCTTGGGGGGAATGCAAACTGATGCAGTCACCCTGAAAAACAGTATGAAGTTTCCTCAAAAACTTAAAAATAGAACTATCTTATGATCCAGCAATGGCACTACTGGGTATTTACCCAAATAATACAAGAACACTAATTCAAAGGGTTACATGCATCTCCATGTTTATTGCAGCATTATTTACAATAGCCAAGATATGGAATCAGCCCAAATGTGCATCAATTGATGAATGGATAAATCAGAGGGTGTATATATGTACAAGGAATATTACTAAGCCATGAAAAAATGAAATCTTGCCATTTGCAATGACATGGATAGAGCTAGAGAGTATAATGCTAAGGGAAATAAGTCAGTCAGAGAAAGAAAAATACCATACAATTTCATTCTTATGAGGAATTTCATTTGTTTTAATGACCAAAGGAAAAAAGAGAGACAAACCAAGGAAGAGACTCTTAATTATAGAGACAAACTGATGGTTACCAGACGATGGGAGAATGGGTTAAACAGGTGATGGGGATTAAGAGGGGCATTTGCTGTAATGAGTACTGCTATTGTATGGAAGTATTGAATCACTATATTGTACACCTGAAACTAATATTATCCTTTATGTTAACTAGAATGTAAATAAAAACTTTTTAAAAAGTGTTAAAAATAATAAAATAACTTTACAAATGCTAAGTGAAATACATCAGAGAAAAATGTATATGATTTCACTCATATGTGGAATTTAAGAAACAAATGAGCAAAAGGGGAATAAAGAGATACAAGCAAAAAGAGAGACCTTAATTATAGAGGAAAAAACTGATGGTTACCAGAGTAGAAAGGGTTGGTGGGATGGGTGAAAAAGGTGATGGGGATTATGGAGGAAACAAGTCATAATGAGTACCTGTTGATGTATAAATTGTTGAATCACTGTATTGTACACCTTAAACTAACTCAACACTATGTTACAACTGGAATTAAAACAAAAACTAAAAAAAATTATAGCCTTGTTAACATACTATGCATGATATTCAGAGAAAGCTGGTTTTCTATATTCATTTGCATTGATGTACAAACATTTTGGGGTCCTACTCACAAATGTTATATGATAACATTAAAAATACATTCCTTGACTGTATACAATGATTATATATTCCTTTAAGATTGTTTTATGCATTAAATAAGAAAAACAAACGCATAGCTGATACAAAAAGCAAGTTAAATTCTTTTTAAATAGCTGATAGCTGTACTTGTGCATTTTAAATAATGGGGAAGCCCAGCTTTAATGCTGGAAGGATCTTAGACTTTCGGTTACATGTTTTGTGAACCATAATGGCCATGCTGGAGGCCACTCAAAGGGTCAGAATATTCAGAGTAGAAACCCAAGCCTCCATCCAAAGCTCATTACTCTCTTGAAAGTTTCTAAAAATAGGACACCATATGTTCATTTCTCCCCACTGTTTACATTTTCCATAGAGCTATTCTTCAAAACTGGGAAATGGTGAACATGGCACTTATGTGTGTATCCCAATCCAGTGTACTAAATACAACATGAAGTGAGGATGCGCTTGCTTGAGGCAGCTTAGGGTGGCTTACTCACAGAGGCAGGCAGAGCTGAGAGAGGACCTTAACTACAACAGTGGGTGGGAATCAAGTTATTATGGGCCCCATGGGAATCTTACGTGGGGAGACAAATGTTCCCATGGATTGAGTACTTCCATACTTCTTTGGTGAGCTTATAAATTGGCACATTTTGAGGTCAATTTTGCTAATGTCTGCCAATTTCTAAATGTGAGCATCCTCTGACCCAGTAGTTCCAAATTCAGGAATCTGATATATAGAAATATTCATACCAACACCTGAAAATATAAGAAGATATTCATTAAGCAGTGAAAGCAAGGGTGGAATACCTTCCACTTGCTATTTGGAGAATAAATAAAATATATTCCATTTATACTATGGCTACTGTGGCACCAAAAATTTTTACACAGAATGTGTATTATTGCTTTTGTAATTTAAAAAGGAAGCAAAAAAAGGAAGCCAAAAGGACAGTCTCTTTAATAAATTGTTCTGGAAAATTGGACAACCACATGCAGAAGAATGAAACTAGACCATTCTCTTACAGCATACACAAAGACAAACTCAAAATGGATGAAAGATATAAATGTGAGACAAGATTCCATCAAAATCCTAGAGAACACAGGCAACACCCTTTTTGAACTTGGCCACTGCAACTTCTTGCAAGATACATCCACGAAGGCAAGAGAAACAAAAGCAAAATGAATTACTGGGACTTCCTCAAGATAAGAATCTTCTGCAAAGCAAAAGAAACAGTCAACAAAACTAAGAGACAACCTACAGAATGGGAGAAGATATTTACAAATGACGTATCAGATAAAGGGCTAGTATCCAAGGTATATAAAGAACTTCTTAAACTCAACAGCAAAGAAACAAACAATCCAATCCATCAAATGGGCAAAAGACATGAACAGAAATTTCACCAAAGACCAACACATGGCCAAGAAGCACATGAGAAAATGCTCCGCATCACTTCCCATCAGGGAAATACAAATCAAAACCACAATGAGATACCACCTCACACCAGTGAGAATGGGGAAAATTAACAAGGCAGGAAACCACAAATATTGGAGAGGATATGGAGAAAGGGGAACCCTCCTGCACTGTTGGTGCAGCCACTCTGGAAAACTGTGTGGAGGCTCCTCAAAGAGTTAAAAATAGACCTGCCCTATGACCCAGCAATTGCACTGCTGGGGATTTACCCCAAAGATACAGATGCAATGAAACGCCGGGACACCTGCACCCTGATGTTTCTAGCAGCAATGTCCACAATAGCCAAACTGTGGAAGGAGCCTCGGTGTCCATCGAAAGATGAATGGATAAAGAAGATGTGGTTTATGTATACAATGGAATATTACTCAGCCATTAGAAACGACAAATACCCACCATTTGCTTCAACGTGGATGGAACTGGAGGGTATTATGCTGAGTGAAATAAGTCAATCGGAGAAGGACAAACATTTTTGGTCTCATTCATTTGGGGAATATAAAAAATACTGAAAGGGAATATAAGGGAAGGGAGAAGAAATGTGTGGGAAATATCAGAAAGGGAGACAGAACATAAAGACTCCTAACTCTGGGAAATGAACTAGGGGTGGTGGAAGGGGAGGAGGGCAGGGGGTGGAGGTGAATGGGTGACGGGCACTGAGGGGGACACTTGACAGGATGAGCACTGGGTGTTATTCTGTATGTTGGCAAATTGAACACCAATAAAAAATAAATTTATTATAAAAAATAAAAATAAAACTCAAATACAAGAAGAAATCTGCCAGAAACTCAAACACATGGAGATTAAAGAGCATCCTTAAAATATGAATAGGTCAACCCGGAAATTAGAGAAAAATTGAAGAGATTCATGGAAAATAATAAAAAAAAGAAAATACAACCTTTCAAAATCTTTGCGATACAACAAGAGTGGTCCTAAGATGGAAATAAATCGCAATACAAGTCTGCCTCAAAAAATTAGAAAAACCTCAAATACACAAGCTAACCTCACACTTCAAGGAACCGGGGAAAGACAACAAGTCTTTCCCAAGAAGACAAGTCTTGTCCCATCAACAAGGGAAACAAAAGCCTAAACCAAGCAGAAGAAGAGAGATAATAAACATTCGAGCAGAACTTAATAAAATAACAGATCAACCAAACCAGGAGTTGGTTCTCTGAAAGAATTAATAGATAAACCATTAGCCAGCCTTATTAAAATAAAAAAGACTCAAAGTAATAAAATGAATGAAAGAGGAGAAAACATAACCAATATCAAGAAAATAAGAATTATTTTTAAAAAGTATTATGAGTAGCTATATGCCAACAAATTAGGCAATCTAGAAGAAATAGATGTATTTCTGGAAAACCAAAAATTACCAACACTGGAACAAGGAGAAACAGAAAACCTGAACAGGTCAGTAACCAGTAAGGAAATTGAATCAGTCATCAAAACATCCCAAGATAAAAAAGTCCAGGGCCAGATATCTTCTGGGGAATTCTATCAAATGTTTAAAGAAGAAATAATACCTATTCTACTAAAGCTCTTTCGAAGGAAAGACAGGGAAAGAATACTTCCAAACTTGTTTTATGAGGCCAGCATGACTTTGATCACAAAACCAGACAAAGACCCCACCAAAAAGGAGAATTATACACCAACATGCCTGATGAGCAGGGATGCAAAAATTCTCAATGAGATACTAGCCACTTGATCCAACAATACATTAATAATAATTAATATTATTCACCATGACCAAGTGGGATTTATCCCTGGGATGCAAGGGTGGTTCAACACTGGTAAAAAAAAAAAAATTAACATGATAGATGACATCAACAAGAGAAAAAAAAGAACCATATGATCCTCTCAGTAGATGCAGAGAAAACATTTGACAACATACAACATCCATTCCTGATCAAAACTCTTCAGAGTGTACGAATAGAGGGAACATCCCTCAATATCTTAAAAGCCATTTATGAAAAGCCCACAGCAAATGTCATTCTCAAAGAGGAAAACTTGAGAGCCTTTCCTTTAAAATCAGGAACACGACAGGAATTTCCACTCTCACCACTGTTATTCAACATAGGACTAGAAGTCCTAGCCTCAGCAATCAGACAACAACAATAAAAAATAAAAGGCATTCAGGGAGGAGGGGCAAGATGTCAGAAGAGGAGGGTCCCCGAGTCACCTGTCCCCACCAAATTACCTAGATGACCTTCAAATCATCCTGAAAATCTACGAATTCGGCCTGAGATTTAAAGAGAGACCAGCTGGAACGCTATAGTGAGGAGAGTTCGCGCTTCTATCAAGGTAGGAAGGGGGGGGGGAGAAATAAAGAAACAAAAGGCCTCCGAGGGGGAGGGCCCCGCGAGGAGCCGGGCTGAGGCCGGGGCGAGTGTCCCCAGGACAGGAGAGCCCCGTCCCGGAGAAGCAGGAGCTGCACCAACCTTCCCGGGCGGAAAGGGGCTCGCAGGGAGTTAGAGCAGGACCCAGGAGGGCGGGGATGCCCTCGGGCTCCCTGGGACACTAACAGACACCTGCGCCCCGGGAGAGTGCGCCGAGCTCCCTAAGGGCTGCAGCGCGCACAGCGGGACCGGAGCAGTTCGGGAGCAGCTCCGGGGCGGCTCCGGCAGAGGCTCTGCACAGAGGGAGCTGCGCGGCAGGGAGCACGATTCCAACAGCGCAGGCCCAGAGGCACAGGGCGCCGGGGACACAGCCCAAGATCCGGCGCTCCCCCCCCCCCCCAACAGGCAGAGCCGGGAGGGCCCAGGACAGCAAGGACACTCCTGCCGCAGGGCGGCCCGGAGCTGGGCAGAACACCGGCCCCGCCCCGGAGCATCCAGGCCCCTGCAGACTGAGAGCTCCATTGTTACTGTGGGAGCTGAATCCAGGGCTCCAGAGCTGGAGCCTCACAGGATAAACAACCCCCACTGAGCATCACAGTGGCCTCACCGGATAAACAGGTTAAACATCTTTCATTGAGCCCTGAATCAGGCAGGGGCAGAGCAGCTCCCCCAAGTGCTAATACCTGAAAATCAGGACAGCAGGCCCCTCCCCCAGAAGACCAGCTATACCAACAGGGGAAAAACAAATTATTGACCAAGCAACACTGGAAAGATCCAGGGGAAGTCGAGGGATTTACAGCATACAGAATCAGAGTAAACTCCCCCTTGTTTTTTGTTTTTTGATTTCTGTTTGCCTAAACCTGCCCCCCGCTTTTTTATTTTTCGTCTTTTCTTTACTCTTTTTTCCCCTCTCTTTTTTCTTTTTTTCTTTCTTTTCTGTCTTTTTCTCCTTTTCCCAATACAACTTGTTTTTGGCCACTCTACACTGAGCAAAATGACTAGAAGGAAAACCTCACCTCAAAAGAATCAGAAACAGTCCTCTCTCCCACAGAGTTACAAAATTTGGATTACAATTCAAGGTCAGAAAGCCAATTCAGAAGAACTATTATAAAGCTACTGGTGGATCTAGAAGAAAGCATAAAGGACTCAAGAGACTTCATGACTGTAGAATTTAGATCTAATCAGGCAGAAATTAAAAATCAATTGAATGAGATGCAATCCAAACCAGAGG